CGCCAATTACTTGAGTTTTAAACTCAACTTTGTTAAGGTAAGAGTCTGTTTCCAATGTGGAGAATGTACTGTCCCAAGCTTCGGGGGTTTGTACAGCTGTTTTCAGAGATACTTCTAGGGACCTGAAAATTTTCAGTTCTTCCAAGGTGCTATGATAAGGGGCGAGGTGTTTGCTCTCCACCGTGACAAGTTCCACCACACCAGTGCTCTTCCTCGCCCCAGGACCGTCCCTCAGAACTGTGCCCCAGATCCAAGCACAGGCAAAACAAGAGATTCCTGGAATCCCCCTCTGATTCGCCACTCGATTCCCCCTCAGTCTGTGGGCCAGAAGCTCAGGACGCAGCCACGGCCCGCACTCGGGACTTGCGACTGAGACCTAGCTTTTTCTCTCACCGCAGTCACAGACTTTTCCCACTGACCTTCTAAGTTGTCTTTGGCGTTTGTGGAGAAGTCTGGAAACCGCCACAGCTGCCTGCGATTCAATCTTTAGAGGCCTGCTCCATGTTCACTGAGGGCTGTGCGCCCACACCGAACTGTGCTCCTCTCCCTGCCCAGCACGCTATACCTTTCTGATCAACCATCCAGGTTGTCTTGGGTTTGAAATTTGTTTCACTCTGTCTTTTTGTAGGTTCTGCTGGTTTAGAATTTGTTTAGAGCCATTTTTTAACAGGTATTTGGAGGGGTTTGGGGGAGAGCTCAAGCAAGTCACAGTTTTCGCTCTGCCATCTTGGCTCCATCCCTCCCAATGGGTCTTTTCTTAGAGGGCTCTGGGGCCTCCTTAGAGAGGAGAGAGATTTCTCTCCCAGTACTGGCATCTGGATATTTGAAAGCATAAGAGGAGTCCATGAATATGCTGGGGATACTGCTGCCAAAGTAGGTATAATTTGCAGCAGTGGCCTGGTACTTTTTAAGCTCCAAATATTCCGAGGTTAGTTTGAGCTTTTGTTTGAAGTGGCATGTTTGTGTCCACTGTAGTATTCTGCATCTGCTCTTGCCTTCTCTCAGGCCAGGAATGCAGCATATTCAATTTCAGAAATGCATTTCTCAGTTTCTTTATCACCTGCTGAAACTGGGTTTTTGCCACCTGTCCAGTTTTTCTGTCTCTATAATAGCTCTTTTCCTCTCTGTTTCTGCTTCTTTCTCTACCACCTTTTGTTTCTGTGCAGCTATAAGGAGTTTGGTCTTCTCAAAATTTCTTCTTAGGGCTTCTGGGATTTTGAGTTTTGAAATATTAGCCTATATAGTGAGCCTGGGGGCCATAATGTTCAGATGTTGTAGGGCTTGCTTCATGTTTCTTACTATCTGATCTGACAATTCAATATAAACTTCCTGAAGAGTGTAGGCACTGCAAAACTGGTTCAACTCATAGTTTATTTTATTGAAGATTAAAGTTTGTTCATAATCTGCAGTATAGTTCCTCATGGTACCAAATACTACCAAAGGAACCAATATATTAACAACTTCTCATGACCCAACCACTTGTTCCACAGGGCACATTTTTAACTTCATCTGTTTGTAGTGTTGTCTGCACAGAACTGTAGGTGGTAATAAAATGCAAATAATAAGATAGCCTGGTGCACTAAGTAAAGCTCCTCCCTTGAGTACACAGCAAGGTGTCCCTCCTCCATCCTGTGGGTGAAGGCATAAAGGAGAACAACCACCAGCCCTGCAGCTGCAGCCCCTGGATCTCTGGCTTGAGTCAGATTCATCTTGGCTCTTCCTGCTCTCTGCTCACTGGAAGCCCTGCCTCTCCCTGACATCGCCTCTGCTCTTCAATAGCCTTTCCCCTCAGTGGCAACCCATGGGTCAGCCCCTGCGGGCCCAAGTCAAAAGCCCTGTCACTCATTTCTTTCAAAGTATAGATCAAGTGACGATTTCAGTGTGAGACCTTTCCTGATCTTACCCCCCATATTGCTATTCTTCACACACAATACTCCATCTACTCTTTGCCATTTCAGTGGCTACCTTCATGCCTAGAGTGCCCTCCCTCACCTTCTTCTCTTAGAATCCTTTGTTTCCTTCAAAATTCAGCTCAGGTGCTACTTCCTTATGAAGCCTTTCTTGATTTCAAAACTGCTAATGCCTATCTTCCCTAAATTTATGTGAAATTTTTTTTCATGTGTTCCCTCTATATTTATATATGTTGATATAGATCCTTTAGGAGCCTTACAAAACTATTTCAGTTTAGTCTTTTAACTCCAGTGTTTAGCACAGTGCCTACCATAAGAAGTATTTAATAAATGGTTGAATGTTGGGGAAAAGACTTGGGGGATTTAGTGAACTGAAAATTATATTACAATAAAGTAATATAACAGCCAAAAAAAAACTAACTTAAAGCTACATTAAAAAAGAACAGTGTCCAGAACTGTGGAGATGGTATCATGCTGTATTTTCCCTTTGTCGAACTGTATGTGGATTATTGTGGTCAATTTGGAACATTTTAGGAAGAATGTTGACAAACTAGAGGAGGTTCAGAAGAGTGTGACCCAGATGGTAAGGAGAATGGAGACCACGTTGTTAAAGCATTGTTTAAAGGAACTGGATAAGTTTAGCTTTGATAAAAGAGGACTTAGGAACACATGTTATCTTAAATACTTTAAGATTGCCACATGGAAGAGGGATTCAAATTCTGTTGCTTGAACTCCAAGGGCAGAGCCAAGAGTGAAGGATGTAAATTGCAGGGGGCCAGATTTTGGGCTTGATGTAAGGGAAGAACTTCCTAATAGTTATATTGTCCTAAAGAACAACCTTGAGAGTATTAAATTCCCCTTTGCTGGAGGTCTTTAGGTTGAAACTTGGATGACCACTTGTTAAAATGTCCTAAAGAGCTGCCTTGGGATTGTTAGGCTTCCCTTTACTAGAGGGCTTCAAGTTGGTTCTGCATGACTCTTTGTTAAGATGAGCTAATATTGTAGTATACCTCAAAATTTCTGTATTCTTTTTCAAGTCATATCCAGGTCTTCATTTTCCACTTTGTGTTTCCTTAGAGAAGGTTTAGAGTATGGGTCATAGGTTGGTTTTATTAGTATATCTGGCTCAGTTCTCTTGTATTGCATATACACTGCTACGTAGCCATATACTATGTTATGGCTTAATTTTCCGCTTTAGACTGCTATATTATACCTTCAATGTGGAATTATCTGAATCTGGTGTTCTTTAGGATTCTATTGAAGTGCACAAGATTTGGTTTACTCCTTCATCGAATGCTTTAGACTGCTATAATGTAATTATATGTCTTAAGATTACTAGTTATAATTCACATTTTTGTAGCACTTTACTGCTTGCAAAAGCACAACACCCCTCTGCAGATATTTTTGCAGTTTTTCAGGCAAGGTTTAAGTGACTTGTCCATGAAGGCATCTAAAGGGCTTCTTCAGATTAAGATTTTCTGTCTCTAGGTCTAGTATTTTCATCAAGTAAGAGAACTATCATAGACTTCTGTGTAGTTCTCGTTGGTATTTTTTTTGTTTTCTCACCTCAACGCCTTTGGCAGAGTGGCTCTTCTCTGCTGTCACTGCTTGCCTCGACTCCCAGCTACTCTGTATAGCTGCATCAAATAGTTTATGCATTTGGTTTTTTTTGCTGCTTGAACCAGTGACTTCTTTTGGTTCCTTCCAGTATTTTGGCTATTCTAGTTGCTTGAGAATGCTATCAGCTGACCAATGAAGGGAGTTTTAGTAGATATAACTAAAGAAGGTTTTTTGTTAGTCAGTATTATGGGTACTAAAATATCATGTTTAGTTAATTGAAAGAGTTAGGGATGAGAGATTTAACTTTTTCAAATCATTTGGCATGAGTACTATTTATCCTCAGTGCAGAGGCAGCTGTCACAGATGGTGGGTGTAATAGAGAGCTGGCCTTATAGTCAGGAAGATGTGGAGTTAAGCCACGCCTATGACACCAGGGAAGATGATGCTTGTAACTCCTAAGAACTTTATTATTATTAGAGCAGTTAGAAGGAGTATACATAGACAGAGGGCATGGGTGTGAGTTGACTGTGATGGAATGATTTCAGAAAAATAAAATGGTGTGAGAATTATCTTACATAAAAGAGGCAAAAAATGAAGAGCTTTTACATGGAGGGGAAGATCAGAGGTGGCAGGCAATGCTGGAACATTGAAATTGGCTCAAAGATGGAATAACATACACACTCAGTTGAGTATAAAAATCTATCTTACCTTTCTTGGAGGGGCCAGTCATCTTGACCTTTGTCTTGCCACTGGATTCTCATGACTGGAGGAGAGGGCAAGGCTGAAGACTTTGCTCAGCTCTGCCTCACTTCAAATCCAATTCACACACAATCCAAGTCAAGACATCACACTCATGATGTCATCAGTCCTCTTTGAGAACGAAGGATGAAGAACAGCTATTTGTACCACTGTCTTTTGGGTCTGTCTTTTTGGTTTTCAACCTTTGGGTTTTTTCCCTTTTTAATTTTGTTCCCCTCTTCTTTTAGTCTGTGAGGTATATGAGCATAATTTTTGTTGGAGCTGACATTTCTCAGCAACCTTTCATAGATTTTCCCCTTCCCTACCCACATCAGTGGTTCTTTTGCACATCACTTTGTACCTGGCCTTTGATGTTAATCATCTAACTATTCTATACGCTACTTTAAATGCAGTTCATTCTACAAAGTTGTTACAATAAGCTTTTTCAAACATTATATGCTAATTTGTTAGCTCCTTGAAAAATCTTTCATGTCAAATATGGTATTTTACACATAGTAGGCACTTAATATCTGTGAATGAAGAAAGCAATCAATCATTCTTCTTTTCAAGAATGGGTGTCTGCTTATTGCCTGTTTTATCAAATCTAAATTCCTTAGACCAGTTTCTTTAACTGATTGTCTTAGCCCAAAACTCTTAGGAAAATGTAGTAAAAATCCTCTATCTCTAATAGATATTTTAGATGACTTTCTCCTGTGTATTTTAGCAATTTATGAATAATTTATTTCTAGACCAGCTTATAGTAATAAAACTTTTTCTCCATTAATCTTTTAGTTTGGAGGTGTCTTTGATTAAGAAGGATGAAGGACTAACATGGCCAGAGTTAGTATTAGGTGATGAGCAAGGAGAATTCATAAGAGATTCAGCCCAGTGTGCTGCAATAGCTGAACGTTTGATGCATCTGACATCTGAAGAACTGGTAAGCAATTTAAACAGCTCTTCTGAGTTTAAAACAGTCTTAAGTTATCTCTGGGCTATTATATACTTTTTGCTCATGGTATAATGTTCTTTCCTTTAAAAATTTCTGATTGGGTCACTAACCTTGAATATATGAATGTGACTTAAAATTCCTATATGATGCTCGTGTCTCTGTACTGTGAATGTGTTAAGTTTTCTTTCCTTGTTAAGTAGATTGACTGCTGACTATGATTTGTAGTTGTTGCTAAAATCATATTTTCACATAGTTCAAATTACTAATAAACCATTATCAGTTCTGGAAGTTGCATAACCCTAGATTATAGTATAATTTGTGTTGAATTAACATTCAGTAGATTTTTTAGGTTAAAAGGTCACAATATTAGTTCATTAGATGCTTGCTTCATAAGAATAGAGTTAACTTAAAATGCAGTGTCATATTCACATAGTGATGACTTGTGAAACTTTATTTTAATTTTTTTCCATTAGTCACAAAATTACAGTGATTAAAAATATGCTAATACTCTAGTAATGTCAATTGCTGTAATGACTTCTTTAATTACACTGAATGATGATAGATGACCTAAGGAGCAGAATGCCTTCTAGATATATAGGAAGTTTGTGGTTAGGTAACCTCTAAGACAGAAAGAAAATAGTTGACTATTGACAGTAAATAGAGAAGAAAAGGACAAATTTAGTAATATAATTTCATCATCTTGTTATAGCTAACTAGAAATTTCATTTGTCAGAACTAACATCTGTAACATGTAGAACCAACCAAACTTCAAATCCATAATTAAATAAGCTAAGTAAACTATTCAAAGGCAGCTCAGTGCTATTCAAGTAATGATAATAAGTGGGGGTGATTTTGTACATTGTAAATAATAATTTGGGGCAAATGCTGTACTGTGATGAATCTTTGATCTCATTGGTGTGGGTGCTCCCTCTACTGGTACGGTTTTCAATCCATCTGTGCATTTATATCCTTTGTGATTCATGTCCATGTCCTTTTATAAACTCTCTGCAGAAGACCTATTCAACAGGCTGCAGGCCATCCTCCTAATATTCCTTGGATATCAGTGTAATACTTTCAACTCTACATCTGTTATTCTACCCACCCTTCACTTCTCCCTTTTCTTTACCCTTCTTCCTAACCGCTCCTTTTTTTGGGATTGCTCTTTAGGCCTTTTACAAACATTCTGCTTGTCTTTTTTTGGATGCTGTCCAGCATTTGATATCTATATTAAAATGTGTTACCCAGAACTGAATATGGTATTTCAGGTATGGTTTGGTTACAGGTGGTATATTTCCTTCCTCATCCTGGAAACTATTCTTCTCTTGTTGTTGTTGAGTTATTTATTCATGTCCAACTCTTCGTGATCCCATGGACTATACTATCCGTGTGATTTTCATGGCACAGATACTTGAGTGGTTTGCCATTTCCTTCTCCAGTTGATTAAGGCAAACAGAGGTTAAGTGACTTGCCCAGGGTCACATAGCTAGTACTAAGTGTTTGAGGCTGTATTTGAACTTAGGTCTTCCTGACTTCAGGCACAGTGCTGTATCCACTGAGCCACTTAGCTGCCTCCTGTCCTTCCCTTTGTGCAGCCTAAGATTGCTTTAGCTTTTTGGGCTGCTATATTAAATTATTGCACTCTTCTCCTATGCTGGCTTTCACAAAAACCCTCCACCTGCTCAGCAATTGAGTGACCATTTTACTATCCTGTTTAAGCAGCTTGAGTGATTCCCCATTGCCTCTATGGTGAACTATAAATTCCTTGGTTCGTCATTTAAAGCTACCTCTTTTCCTTATCTCACAGCCCGTTGACATCGTCTCCCACCATCTCATCATTTACCACAGTCTCTGATGAAGCAGTGGCCCTTCTCTTTGCTAAGGCTAACCTTTCTACGTGGACCCTTTTAATTCTTTTTCCAGAAGGTTCCCCCTCTCAATTATTTCCTTCTCTCTAATCTTCAATCTTTTTTCTTTCTAGTGGTTCCTTCCCTGATGATTTAAACTGATCCCTCATTATCTTCCCCATCCTTAAACCCTATTTCCCTTAACTGCCATCCCCATAAGCCTTATCCCCAGCCATGCTACCTTTCCCTCCATTCCCATAAGCTAAAAATCTGTTGTTTCTCCTCCATTTCTTGGCCAGAATCCTAGAAAAAGCTGTATGCACTCATTGCCTCAACTTCCTCATCTTTTCTGAGTCCTCGGCAGTATGGTTTCAAACCTCATCATTCAACTGAAACTTCTCTTTTCAAACTTGCAAATGATTTTTTGCAAATGATCTTTTATTCTATATACCCTTGTTGCCCTTAGCTGCCTTGATTTTCTCTTGTTGAAATGCTTTTTGACCTTTCTATTGGTAATTATTTTATGTCAGTTAAATTTCTCACGAGTCAATGCCTCTACTTTGATTTTTTTTTTCTTTATCAGTGAACTGTTTTAGTAGTTTGATGTGGAGCTTATAGTTATGTGAAGTGTCTCCACATTTTATCCTTTCTTCACATTTAGTGTTGATCATGACAGTTCTAATGAGGCTGTGATCTGATTTGCACACACAGATCCACTTCTTAAATAGCTCCTGTGTCAGTCCTGAGATGTTTTCTGTTTAAGGTCCAGCCAGTTTCATTTTGGTTATAATGTTTGATTTTACCACCTAGCCTTAGTCTAGCTCTCTTCTTTAGTTATTCATTGTATTCAAGTGTGAAATTTCTGAATATTCTACATTTAGTCACATTGACTTCTTATTCATGAGCTATATTTCTGAATACTTTTATCTCTTTTGGCAAGTCCCACACCCTCCTATACACTCGTACATTGTAGCTGCTGAGTATCTAGGGAAATGTTGACTGGGTTTGGAGCATCTTGCCTGGTTTTTTTGTATAATTTTTCTAGTACTTCATCCTCTGCAACAGATGTTGACCCATAAACTGTAATGTAAATTAGCTTATGGCTGTTTGTTTGCTCGCACTCATTGTGAGTCCTGCAAGGCAGAATGACTAAATGTCCTGTGAAATAATGTTTCTGTTTTGTGAAATTATGTTTTGGTACATGAAACCAAATCCACAAATGTCTCTCATGGGGAAATTGTGAGTTACCTTTACATTAACCTACACTTTAATTTCCTTTTTAGCAACGATTCCAGTATGTATTTGACTCAGTTCCCCCAGTAGTCAGCTCTTTGTTCATATTTAAAGTAGCATCTAGGGGAAGCTAGGTGGCGCAGTGGATAGAGCACTCAGCCTGAAGTCTGGAGGACCTGAGTTCAAATCCAGCCTCAGACACCTACACATAACACTCACTAGCAGTGTGACCATGGACAAGTCACTTAACCCCAATTGTCTCACCAAAATAAAAAAAATAAAGTAGCATCTAAAGTTAATGTTTGCAGATAAAAGTGGGATTCTTAGTGTCATCTACTTCCCTGTCACATTGTCACTACAGAAGCAGAAAGAAATCACTACATAATGGTAGTTAGGAAAAAAAATATATTTTATTGGTTGAATAGCAATTATATTTTGCCAAATTTTTCAAGTCATTTTTTTTTTGAGTTTTATAAAGGACTCTGCTTTATTGTATTGGAAACTTGAATAGTATGAATAGACTTCATCTATTCACTTTTTTCTTTTTTTTCTTTTCTTTTCTTTTCTTTTTTTCAATTCAATAAACATTTATTAAGCACCTACTGTCTATAAAGTACTATGTTAGCTGCTGAGGATACAAAGGCATTATTTTTTTTTTAACATGTGTTTTTAAAACTTTGGGTTCCAAATTTTCTCCCTTCCTCCCTCCCCACCCACCCTCATTGAAAAGGCGAGCTATACATGTGCAGATATTCAAAACACTTCCATAGTAGACATGCTGTGAAAAACTAATTCTATTTCCCTTAATCCTATCCCGCCCCCCCATTCTATTCTTTCTTTTGACCCTGTCCCTCCTCAGAAATATTTGCTTCTGATTACCCCCTTTCCCAATCTTCCCTCCTCTCTATCATCCCTCTACTCTCTTGTCCCCTTCCCCTCCTATTTTCCTGTAGGGTAAGACAGATTTCCATACCCAATTGAGTGTGTATGTTATTCCCTCCTTAAGTCAAATCCTATGAGAATAAGATTCACTCATGCCCTCTCACCTTCCCCCGTTTCCCCTCCACTGTAAGAGCCTTTTCTTTTCTGTTTTTTACCCTGTTAATAATTTACCCTGTTCTACTTTTCCCTTTCTCCTTCTCCTAGTATAATCCTTTCTCACCCCTTAATTTTATTCTCCAGATATGACCCTTTCATCTTCATCTCACCCTGTGCCTCTATCTATCTATCTATCTGTCTATCTATATATATATATATATACATACATACATATAATTTTTTCCCTCCAACCACACCAATACTGACAAAGGTCTCATGAGTTACAAATATCGTCTTTCCATGCAGGAATGTAAACAGTTCAACCTTAATAAGTTTCTTATGATTTCTCTTTCCTGTTTACATCTTCATGTTCCACTTGAGTCTTGTATTGGAAACTCAAATTTTCTGTTCAGCTCTGATCTTTTTATCAAGAATGCTTAAAAGTCCTCTTTGTCACTGAATGACCATTTTTTCCCCTGAAGAATTATACTCAGTTTTGCTGGGTAGGTGATTCTTGGTTGTAATCCTATCTCCTTTGCCCTCCGGAATATTATATTCAATGCCCTACGGTCCCTTAATGTAGAAGCTGCTAAATCTTGTGTTATCCGATTGTGTTTCCACAATACTTGAATTGTTTCTTTCTGGCTGCTTGTAATAATTTCTCCTTGACCTGGGAAGTCTGGAATTTGGCTACAATATTCCTAGGAGTTTTCCTTTGGGGATCTCTTTCAGGAGGAGATCAGTGGATTCTTTCAATTTCTATTTTGCCCTCTGGTTCTAAAATATCAGGGCAGTTTTCCTTGATTATTTCTTGAAAGATGATGTCTAGGCTCTAGTCCAATAATTTTTGAATTCTCTCTCCTGGATCTCTTT